ATTCAAGTTATACATAGTATATAATCTACATCTAAAATAAATTAAATAAATTACATTATTGATTATTCAATGTTTATCATGAAAGTTTTTTTTAAATTTCACGTACCCCCCGGGGGTACGCGTACCCCAGGTTGAATACCACTGCTTTAACCGATCCCGATATCAGTTCAATCGGATTAAGATATGGGTGATATGGCGGCAAGCGAAGGACAGAGTGGCCATGTTCAGCCAGTAGAACGTCAATTTTGAATGTTTTGAATTGTGGCTTACGCAGTTTAATTAGAGAATACAATTCGGGCTTGCACATTCGGTCACTGCCACGATCTGAAACCCAGTCGATCATAGCACTTTTTCGAGATGAAGAATTTGGAGCCGGATTGAGTTGTACATTATGGTAAGCTGCATTGTCCACTACTAATACCGAATTAGGTGAATTGTTTGGAATTAACTTCGTTTTGAACCATCTTTCATAGTTATCAGAATTGTGAAAATGACATGCCTAATTATAAATAGGCCAGTGTTATTGAAATGGAATTCAGCACACGAAGTGAACTCGGTCACAGCTCGCTCGTAACTGAGCTCCGCTTACACCCCACACATTGTTCGAACTGCAAATACTCTGCACATCTCAAGGCCATAGCTCGTGTCCCACCAAAGAGGATGATGTCTGCGCAGGGTAGCCAACTTCTTAGAACGTATTTCTCGTACTCAGGATCTATATATGTACACTGTACAGCTATATACATTATTCATAAGTCTCTGAGAATGGAAAATATGCAGTGTGTTTGTTCCCGACGTCGCTACAACATACATATATTATATGAGACTGGATGTGTACGTTACAACGAAACAAAAACAAAGGAATACAGAAAAGGATTCCTCCGCAACCGGTGTGAGACTCAGTTTACTAGGATCACATAAAATATTTCACAAGAAAACAAGCACAAGTAAACAAAAGCAATTCAGACAAACTTTTCTTGCACTTTGCGTTCTACAAAACTTCTGATATTCAAACGCAATTATGAGGAATTTGAAAGAACTCCGACCTCTATGTTTTAATCAAATTATAAAAAACTCTTTATATTATCTGGTCAAGCTCCAGGTTCTCATGGATTCGACTCAAAAGATAACTCTTTTTGAATGTTGTGCCTCAATCATCAGGGCTCTTCATCGCCCTGAAGCTGGAGGTCGTAACCACCTGTGAAACGTCGGTAATGTTCTACCAGACTACACGAAGCAACATCCCAGAAGACAGCAATCTTCTGACATGTTGTGATTTTGATTTTCCAACACCATAAAAATATCTGTAACGGACTCATCCGTCCTTTATGGACCTGGAAAACCTTCCGTGGTCAAGTTAGTTTTTTTTAACACACATATTTAAGTTCATTGTATGGATGTATCATTACGGTTGATAACCTGCGCCATCATGGGAGGGAATGAAAGACATCTTTGAACATGTCTTGTGCAGATTTTCGAACCCCGTTCCTCCCATAATACAAAGCTGTGATAGAACTGGATTCACCGACCATGACCTTGTAGGGAGAGCCCAGTATGCGGACCACTCAATGAAGGAAGGAAGGAGTTTCCGTCGGTCAGCACAGTCTGTGTCAGTGCAGCAGTGTGGAAGCCTGATAATTGTTGTCTTGTGACTGTGCTGTGTTAACAACATGCAACCCGTTCGTTGCAATCTCCTTTATGGTCATTGATAACGCCTCGTATCAAAACACTCAGGCAGACAAACCACCGACGTCTTACTCAAAGAAGGACGAAATGAAAGCCTGGCTATTGGAAAGAAACACCCCATTTTGTGACGTGTTGAAAGCTCAACCGTACGATTTAATCAAATTAAATGAGTCAAAGCACAAATATTATGTGATTGATCAGATTTTAGCAGACAAAGAACGTACTGTGCTGAGACTTTCGCCGTACCATCCCGATTTAAACCCCCGTTTAACTTATTTGGGCAGATGTAAACCAATGGGTTGCAAGCAAGAACACAACATTTAAAATTAAGGACGTCGAACAACTGTGTCGCCAGAGATTCGAAGAAATTGGGCATGAGGAATGGCAGAATGTATGTCAGCATGTGGAGAAACTAGAACAAATTTATTATGAGCATGAAGGCATAATCGGAGACGCTATTGAACGTATTACAATTGAAGATATTGGAGCGGTAGTGATTAATCGAGTGATATGTCAGAAAGCGATGGTCTGTGAGGAGTGGGAGAATTGTAAGAGGACCGAAGCGTTGTGAAGAAGATAAAATTATCTAATACTCTCTGCGGTGTTAATTTTCTAGTGATGTGTAACGTAGTGAAATCGACTTTGCTGTTTTACATACGGTGGTGATATTTCATTTGGAATGTACTGTACACGGCCTGCTGCCATCCCTTCCAGCAAACGTCTGGTAAGTGACTCGCTCCGAGGTTCCAATTCACAAAGTTCAGCGGCCAAAAACGCTGGAACGCAGTGTATTAACCACTTCATAATCATATCCTGTGGGAGTGAGAATAGTGAGGAAAAAGGAAACTGGACGAAGCTGCAGGGTCCTGTTCGAATGTTATGCCTATACCCATTTCGGTACAGACTACGTAAGTTCTACCCTGTGTCTAATAAATCTCAACTCATTCTTAATTTGGTAGGGTACTTTGGCCTTTGTAAATCTGGGATCCATTGGATACAAGGGCGGTCAGGCCCCAGGGCGAAGACAAATTAACGCAGCCTTCCCGAGAATCTAATACGTATTAAGTAGGATTTGATGTTTTCAGGGCGGTGAGTCCGAAGGTGGCTGTTTTCTGGATTGTAGCGCCGTGTAATCATCGTCCTGATGATGGAGGCAGCAAGGGCCAGGGTACACGGCGTTTTAACCCAGAAGACAGTCATCTTCCTTATACGGATTTTATAGCTGAGCTAACCCTGCTGATTGACACTAGGCCTGGGAGAGAGACTACAGAATGGAGTTTGTGACAAACGGCGTTACATATGAAAAAATGACTTGTGATTGAAATGTGACATCCTACTTCGAATATGTCAATTATTAGGGTCCACTGCTCGTTCTCTGATCTAATTCTAACATAAAACATTTGATGCCTAAGCTCATCTGAATAATTTTTCAGAATTCATTATAG